CAGAGAGAGGCAGAGAGAGGCAGAGAGAGGCAGAGAGAGGCAGAGAGAGGCAGAGAGAGGCAGAGAGAGGCAGAGAGGGGGAGGGAGAGGCAGAGAGGGGGAGGGAGGGAGAGATACGCACCACCTGGCCATCAGCACTGACACTCTCCAGTGAGGTGCTGACAATCACTGGCACATGGCCAGACAGAGTGACATCGTCCACCTTGATGGCTTTCTGTGGGAGATCGGTCCAAGAAAGGAGGGGCAGGGGGGAGGGGAGAGGGGGAAAAGGTCAGCACGGCCCGAAAGATCGATCGGAGAAGAATGCCAAGACGCACAATGAAAGAGGGAACCTTGGAACGAGTGAGCTTCCGGGTGATGGCCTCATTGAAGGAGTTTTTCAGTGCGGGTGCCATGCCGCCCTGGTCATTTAGGTGGCAGAACACGCGTCCAAGAAGGGCTGGCGATGCGGTCGAGGGGCAGGATACAGGGGCACGTTCATGAGTGGATGAGTGGATGAGTTTGTGTGTTTGTACGTGCGTGCGCGTGTGTGTGTGTTTGCATGAGGGAGATGCCGGAAAAGAGGGGAGGGAGGAGCATGTGCAAACAAACAGCGGGGAAATGCGCGCAAACGTACCATTGAACCAGCGCAACTCCGGTGCCATGGAGTCATGTGCCAGGAGCTCCACAAGGGTTTCCATGTATGGACGCTGCCGTTGCACCTGAATATCATATAGTGCCGAGGCCGACTGCGCGGCGAGAGATGGGGGGGGGGGGGGGGGGAACAGGTGAAGGTAGCGTCCTGTTAGCTGTGGAAAGGGGGCAAACATGGCGGCTGCAGGATGACGCACGTCGATGGCCAGACGTGAAGCCCGGCGCAGCGAGTAGAACCAATCCTCCTTGTCAATGGGTAACGACAGGAGTGTGATGTAGAAGGTGGGGCCGCCGCCCCACAGGTTTAGGAAGGCTCGGAGCTTGCGCATGCGACGCTCGCGCCACCGGGCCAGTCGGGCCAACTTGCGCCGTTCGGCGGCCGTCTGTGCCGCGGTGTCTCCGGTCGTGGTGGAGGCGCGCCCGTCGGCGGTGGCCGTGGTGAACATGCCAGCCGACCCGACGTATGTCGAAGACCGGACCGTCGACGTCGGCGAGATGGTCCACGGCGCGGGGAAGGGCATCGGCGACAGGGGGGACATGCCGCTGACTGGAGGGACGCGCGGAAAGGAGGGGAAAGAGAGAGAGAGAGAGAGAGAGAGAGAGAAAGAAAGAGCAGGAAGCAGCGTCAGCATGGACATTCGAACCTCCCGTGGAAAGGGGCGAACACAGATAAAGGACAATAAAATGGGGCTGGAAATCCAGGCCCGAAACCAAGGCCGCGAAGCAGGTCGCAACATACGCGATCGGCTGGCCAAACTACCGGACGCAGATGACCGGGGCAGGGGCTCCGGCGCATGCCCAGGGCCGCTGGCAGCCGGAGCCGTTGGCAGAGGAGCCGGCTCGGCGAGGACGTCCTCCGACAGGGAGATTTGCAGAGGCATGCGTGGCAGCCAGTACTCCGATCGATGAAGGTCCGCCGGCCAGCGAGAGATCCGGGCCCGATCCAGACGAATGCTGACCAGCGGCTCGGAGTATCGGCGGCCGGAAGACCCATGGCCAAAGCCTGATCCCCCGGCCGGAGAGTCGATGTTGGCTCGATCGCATGGGGCATAAATGTGAAGGTAGTTGTTGCGCAGGACCACCCAGAAGACGGGGAAGGTGGTCGGCAGCGGAATCGCCGCAGAGGCGGCCTGCCCAGCGGCACTGGCCGGCGGGGGCGGAGCGGCAGCATGCGCGCCTGCGCCGCCGATGGCTGCCGCGCCAGCAGATCGGCTGTCACCTGGCCCCGATCCCGAGGGTGTGCCATGGTGCGTGGGGCTGCTCGGCAGAGCGGACGTGGTGGACCCGCGCCCGGGGGGCGTCGCCGCCGAACTGGCGTCAGCACCGTCTGTCCCCGGCAAGTGGGACCCATCGACCGTGTAAGAGCGGGTGCGGCGCATGCGCAGACTGCCACTGGCACTGGTGTCCGGGCCGAAGGACATCGGCGGGGATGTGGCCCCGGCTGCCACGCCCCCAGGGCCGGTCAGCGGCGGGGAAGAAGAGGAGGGCACCGCGTGCGAGGCGCCCCGCGAAAAGGTCGGTGACACCGGAGCAGCGTGCACGGTGCCTGTGACATGCCCGAGGGGACAATAGGCGGGACCATGTGTGCATAAGCCAGGGCAGAGGGGAGGGAGGAAGGAGAGAGAGAGAGAGAGAGAGAGTGAGAAATTGCGCCAGCTAGAGCATGTGGAGGCTGGCAATCCCAAGAGAGAGAGAGAGAGAGAGAGAGGAAGGGCAAGGGAAAAGAAGAAGAAGAAAGGCGCGCAGCGAGGCATCATACCGGCTGCCGAGCGGCTGGCTGAGGGGGTGAAAGACCGCCATGTGGACATGAGCTTGGTGGCGGTCTGCTCGACGTCCGCCGGCAAGATACTCGCCGACAGGGTGGACATCATGTCCAGGCTCCAAACGCCGGAGATCCGAGCGAAGGAGCATTCCTCAATGAGGATCGGCGGCTCGAGGGCGCCACTGCGTCGCGCAGCCCGATTGAACAGCATATCCCCCTGGACGTCGGCCAGGTCCCAGTCGTGGTCGGAGTCCTCGCCGATGGGGCCCGGCGTGGTGCCAGCACGCCGGTGAGCATCGGCCAATGGCCGGGCCCCAGGGCCGGCATCTCGCGGATGGTCCTCGTCCAGCTCATCCGAATCGGACCACTGATCGGAAGAGGAGTCACTGATGTCCGACTCGCACCAGTGGAAGGATGTCACGGGGGGGGCCGAAGCGGCGGCGGTCGACAATGGTGTCGATCCTGCGTGACCTCCCTGTCGCATGACAAACAAATCGTAGGAGTTCTCTCGGTCTCGGTCCTCCGGGCGCCGAGCGGCCGATGTGCCGTGCGCCCCGGCCGGATCGAAGGGCCGGCCTTTGCCAGGCTCCAGCTGCCCATGGGGATCCTCTTCCGCCTCCTCAAAGGAGAAGTTCGGGTCCCTCAGAGGGTGACCGAGGTCCGCCTGTTCCGGGGGGAACTCCTGGTGGTCCAGGCCGAAGGGCTCCACCCGAAGCCGGGCCAGGTACACTGTGACCGAGCGGAAGTAGCCCCGGAGTTGGGCCAGCCGGGCAGACAGATTCGGCGTGTGGCGGTCCGGGTTTGGATTCAACACATGCCATAGGACCAGGCCGATGGTGGCGCAGAGCAGCAGCACCGTCGCCAGCACACCGTGGAGGAAGGCGACGATGTACATGACGCTGCCCTGCGTGGATCCGAGCCGGAAGGAGGGAAGGCGGAGACGGGA